GAAGTGGGGTATCTGGTGAAAAAGGTTGTAAAGAGGGGCGAGAAGAGGGACGGGAGGGAGCGAAACGGGGTGGACGCGAAGGGAGGGAGGAAGGGGGGGAGCCACGGGCGTGAGGAGAGATGATGAAAAGCACAGAAAAGACAGGCTTGGCCACAGGCAGAGAGGAAGAGAAGGGGCGCACCATCTCGTTGCCGATGCGTTGCACGGTGCGGACGTAGTCGAGCTTGTTGGGGAGGAGGGACTCGAGCTCAGGAAATTTCTGAGAGTACACATCCACCACGAAACGGTGCACGTTCAAAATCTCTTCGTCGATGTCTATTTATCATGAGGAGAACTGAGGTGTCAGGCGCTGAGAAAGGAGGCAGGCGGTGGGTATTCCTCCCCCTCCGTCCTCCCTCCCTCCCTCCCTCCCTACCTTGCACCAAGCGGTTGGAGGAAAGGATCAATTGGTATTCCGGATCGTTTTCCAGGGGCAAGCTCATCGAGGGCGCCTCCTCCAGGGCCAGCCCCGTCGTCACTCTTTCCAAGTGCGCCCGGTACCGCTTGGTCTTGCTCAAAGTCGCCACTGCGTCCAAGCTCTGCCCCGTTCCTTTCGGCAGGGCCTTGGGCACTGCACCCTCCATCTCCATCGCGTCCTGCCCCTGCTCGTCTTGCCTCCTCTTTGTGGCCTTTCCGTCCCCTCCTTCCCCCTCCTCTTCCTCACTGTCATCCAAACTTTCCAGGTCCTCCGCTTTCACGCGAACGCCGCCGTTTCCGCCCGGCTTACCGTCCTTCCTTGCTTGAACCCCCCTTCCTTCCTCCTCCTCCTCCTCCTCCTCCTCCTCCTCTTCATCTGAGTCCTCTCCAAGTCCATCCAAGTCATTAAGGAACGAGTTGTCCCCCAAAGCGGTCTGGTGGAGGTAATAGCGGGTCAAAAAACGGTCGAAAGGCACACACAGGGGAGGACATGGAAGAGTCTAGGCATGTGCTGCAAGGCAAAGGCAAACACGGAAACGTACCATGGCTAATATCTATAAATTTGCCGCTGGCTCTTTTTTTGCCGACACTATACGACGAGAAAGCAGTACCCTTGGACCGTTGCTGAACCTATGCATCATGTTGCATACGGCGAGGAGAGGAATAAGTTACTTTGAGCCATGCCTGACAACTCTCTTGCGCCGACGAGACCAAGAATGCACTGCGGACACCAAAATCGTAAAGTGCACCCTCTACGAAGCTCAGCCTGTCCTCGGCGCGTCCAACAACGCGTGGACGACCCCCTGCAGGCGTCGGGAACATGGTTTTCACGGGGTTTCTTGCATGGGATGCGCGTGCCACAGAGATGTGTGGAGTTGGTACGGGCGGTGCTCTCTCACCGAA